GCCAACACTAACAAACATCCCGTCCATTGCACTCCTTCACCTACACCACGGGTCAAGAGACTGGTAAATTAAATAAAAAGGGTCGCGACAACTTTCAAAAAGTGGTGTGGTGACGTAGTGCTTCAAATTGCTCACTTGTCAAGCTCTTACAGGTAATCTTTAAGATTAAGGTTGTGTTTCGGTGACGCCTTTGAGTCGGTGATTCCACGGAGTTAGGAATGGAGGACGACGGTTCCAGCTCGATCCGCCGCATGTCAAGCCGAACGCGAAAAGTTGCGTCCAAAATGGCCGCTGCACTTGCCAGCGCCGACAACCGCACTCAGGCAGCTATCTCCTCTCAATTCTTCTTCTGTTTTCTAATTTCTCCAGGAAATATGTATCACCATAAAATTGAATGAGGAATCTGATAGAAGTGTGTTTCTGTTACAATTTAATTCAGGCGGCACTTGCGCGCTTGGATGCTTTGGAGAATGACAATGCGGGTTTTGAAATCGCAGATGCCAATAACGATGATGATGAAGCTTCTCTCGACGAGGAAGATCAATGTTAGGGTTTCTTCTCTACTTTTTTTTCCCTTTTGTTTCATGATTTTATTAGACAAAACATCATTATAGTTAAACTATAAAATGCTTGAAACCAGGAAAATTAAAACACGAGTACCTAAACTTTAGTCCTTGAACATAACTTATTCCTTATCTGACGACTTTTTGAGTTTTGTAGTGAAGTGATTAATATAGATTACACTTTCAGCAGCTTCTTAAGTTTTCTTACTTTCAAAGACTATTATCAAAACGCCATATAGTTATAGGGACGTGAATACTATTTTACTCAATTTTATTTCATTTTTGCTGTTAGTGTTAATTTAGAGTAAAGGCCCATTTAGTTTTTAAAATTGTGATTTGTGTGTAACTTTGCTCCTCTTATTATCTGGCTTAACAAAATTCAACAGATGCCTCTGAAATTGGAATTCTAACATCTGAGTCCCTCACTTAACCCATCTTACTGTCATTTTGGTCCTTGAATAAACAAGGACGTGCGATTGAGATAAATGTTAAGTGAAGAGATCCACAAATCTAACTAATTAAGGCTTAGGATATGTGTATCTTGTAAATGGACCCATGATTGCTTATACTGACTTTTACATCCATTCATGCAATCGGCAGCATGTAACTGTTGGGTGTAGATCACTTAAAGCAGACTAAAAACATTCATTCAAGATCTGAGCCATGCAATCTTCATCTAACGACTTCTTGAATGAATGTAAATTCCAACGGGATATTTCCTGAATCAAAGTGTATTTTTAGGGAAAAAGGGGGTTGATAGGATAAAATGGGTAATGGGTTTAGGATAAAAGGGAGAGGAATTGTATGAATAGTACTCTGTTATGTTGTCAGGAGGGGAGTTTTGAACATTAATTGTACGAACAGGCTCTTTCAGGTCCTGTGAGGGAGGTTATGCTCCCAACTATTCTTTGTGAAGATAATTCTATTGCTGTGAATAATAGAAACTCATTCTTTCATTACTTTCTCTGTCTATTGTGAGTGTTCTTGGTTAGGTTCCATACTTAGAAACCTAACAAATTGGTCCGACCTGCCGGATCTGCTCGGGAGGGGACTGTCGATACCCTTAGGGGAGGACGGCCAGATCAAAGGTTGCGGATCAAGAAGTGATCAAGAAAGGGTTGAAGCATGGAAGGAAGAGACAATACCTTGGAGAGGAGGACCATCGAACAGAAAATGAGCAGGGCAAAACCGAAAATGAGCATGGCAGAATGGAGAAGAAATATGCAAGAAATGCGGCAGGAAACCAGAGTACTCTTGCGAGTTCTTGGAGGAAGGGTGTGGAACCAGGAAAAAGGATTGGAAGGCAGTCCAGGGTTTGTAGATGAAAATCAACATTCTGTTAACGAGAATCGGAGAAGGGGAAGAGAGAGCTCAGAGGAGGAACTGGATGAAGACCGAGGAGATGCCCAACCTAATGGGGTAAAAAGGGTAGAACTACCCACTTTCAAAGGGTTTGATCCTAAGGGGTGGATTGCTAGAACGGAGAAAGCTTTTGAGATCTAGGGGGTGATAAAGGAAGAAAAAGTGCGCCTGGCATACAGTAGCATGGAGGGCAGTGCTGGGTATTGGGTCCTGGCTTGGAAGGCTAAAGCCAAGAATCCTTCTTGGGAAGGATTGAAGGAAGCTATGGTGGTGCGATTTGGAGGGCAAAAATAAATGAAGATTTACGACGATGACGTCATCAACGCTTCAGGTTCGGTTGGCGTGTTTCGTTGCACGCGCTTCCAAGAGGCCCTGGATTGGAGCATCATCGAGTCACTCATTCTGGTGAACGAAATCGCAGCGGTGGAAGCCGACTGCTCCGTCGCGCTCTCCTCCTACCAGCAGTGGAACATCATTGCCCAGAACTGCGTGGCCTTGGATGTGCAGCGCAAACGCACGCAGTGCCGCCGCAAGTGGCATGCGTTGCTCTCTGACTACGACTGCTTCAAGGGAACAGCCAACGCTGGAGGCAAGTTGCCGCCGAATTTCGATTACGAATTGTTTGAGGCCGTCGAACGCGTTGTGAAGGCACGTGAGGAGCGGGGCATGGCTGATCCCGAGAGCAATCCGAAGCAGGGAACGATGCGTGTGACGCCACCGTGGAAATTGGGTCCAAAAGGAAACGGTAACGAAGTAAGTTCAAACACCGCATTCAAAAGCCCAAACTTGAACAAAGGCACAAGGACAACCATGAAGAAGAGCATGAGGAAAAACCATTTTTTTCATGGGTGAAAAGAGAAGAGGTTGAGCACAAAGTGGTGAGTGTTGAAGAGAATAATAATAAAAGTAACAATAAAGGGGTTGCAGAGCAAGTGATTAGTGGTGTTGAAACAGTGAAGGTGGTGGATGTGGCCACCGAGAACCAAGAGGAGCAAAGGGAGCTTGCAGTTTTTGATGCACTTGCAGAGGGGAGAGAGCTGCTTGAAGCATTGAAAGACATTGAAAATCATTTTCTCAGGGTTTATGATTCTGGAAAAGATGTGACTAGAATGCTAGAAGCTAATAGAATCCAAGAAGAATGGAAGTCATTGGAGGAGGATTTGCCACCACCCAAGCCTCCATACCTGAATGGGAGGGCAGTAGCCAGTGGGTTCCATTCATATGATAACACGATGATGAAGAGGAGTCAGGAGATCAAGTTTCACGGTTCCAACCTTGAGGATAAGGTTGTTCTGCAGCGGGGTGTAATGATAGGATATAGGGTGATAGGATATAATGAGTAATGAGTTTAGGATAGAAGGGAGAGGAATTGTATAAATAATACTCTGTTAAGTTGTCAGGAGGGGAGTTTTGAACATTAATTGTACAAACAGGGTTTTTAAGGTTCTCTGAGGGAGGTTATGCTCCCAACTATTCTTTGTGAAGAGAATTCTATTGTTGTGAATAATAGAAACTCATTCTTTCATTACTTTCTCTGTCTACTGTGAGTGTTCTTGGTTAGGTTCCATTCTTAGAAATCTAACAGGGGTACTAACTGCAACTTGATTGAAATTCAGGGAGTATAATTTTTTAAAGATCCTTTGGTGAAACTTTTATGTTTTAAAAACTATTATAAAAATTATGTATAGATTTTAAAAATTATTTGATTCTTATCAAAATTTGAAATTCACTTAGTTCCTTTTCTTTACAGATTATATACAGAAAAAGCAGTCTAAAGGCACAAAAAGAAAGACCAGACAGGCAAAAGCACTTGAAGCTAGGAGGGCCCCGAGAACATTCCTTGAGCTCTTGCATGAGGTCAGTCATTACATCCACCACGGGTCACGCTCACTAGTGACACTCCTGTTTTACTTTTGCCTTGGTTTCTGTTTTTGTTAAACCAACCTCCTGCAATTGTAGGCTAACTTAGAATCATTGCCACATCACGTGCCCTCCTATTGGAAAGCCGCAGTTGGACCTCCAAGCACAACCTCCCGTCGCCACTTCTGTACTGTTTGTGGTTTTTCTGCTAATTACACTTGTGTGAGATGTGGTATGCGCTTTTGTTCCTATAGATGTCAAAATGTGCACAATGATACTCGTTGCTTGAAATTTGTAGCCTAATTCATGTCTCACAAAAATGTGCACAAGAACATTATTGGACACACTATTGTAACTTGTTATATATCAGTGTTCACCAGCAGTATGTGCAAGCAAGCTCTTTGCTCAATTTTCCTCTTTTGTTACCTTTTAAGACTAGTGGTTCAGTTATTAAGTCACAAGGTGAAACTGTATATTTTGACCCCTATTCGATCCTCTTGGTCTATGTAACCTTGCTAAAGATGTCCTTCGAAGTTATGAAATTCTATGATTCACAATTCAAATCCTACAATTTTATGTGATTTGGTTACCTATCAACATGGATCATAAGATTTATAATTGATACGTATCACACGATTCAACAATTTGTCATCTTTCCAATTACGTCTTTCACCAATTCTCAAGAAAAAAATTGAATGACCGTGTCTAAATTTATCTTATTTGATTGTTCCTCCGCAACATTTTTCATTCAGTGCATGCACTTTATTGGGTTATATTCATTGCTCCATTTGCATTCTTTTGAAATAAAGGCTTTACCAACTCAGTTAATATTTTCGATTTGTAAGACTAATGGCATATAAGTTGTTCTTTTTTCATTTCTACTTTTAGATTATTACATTGAACAATTTATATAATGTATTTGAAGTAGTTTTTCATTGTTTATGAATCTTAAGATTCAAGTTTTAGCTTGGTGATTAACAAATTGAATATTGATTTGGTAACCTTGATGTCCATAGTTGCATTAACTTAAGTTATCCGTTCAGTTATGTTTAATATGCCACTGGGATTATTCTGTTGTATTTTGCTTATGGATTATCTTTGTTTGTGACTTTGTACGCATGTCTTTGATTAGATTATCTCCAAGGAAGCTTACTTGCTAGAGTTTGCTGTTATGTTCTTTAGTTTCTTATTATTGTACATGAACCTTATAACATGGCGGTTGATGCATGCTGTGGATTTAGGCCATCCTAGAGGTCCAATGATTTCTTTGCATGTTAGGTATCCAGGAACAGTCAGGATGAACTTCACATTTTTGTTCATGTTGACCTGCTAAAAATTAAATGTACCATGTTTTTTGTTGTTCAGGCTCCTTTGTACAGAATAGTACATCTTCGCATTGCAACAAGTGCACAATTCTTCCACTGTAGGATATGAAATCAGTTTCTGGTACTGAAATATTTTTTTTCTATCAACTGGTCAGAATGGTACAGTTTTTCTCACTGAAATATTAAATTGGTAATAGTAATGATAAGAAATCATTTAAATATTAATTTTCTTTGTATAGAGTTACAGTGCCGTCTAATCAACATACCGCAAACATACAGCTCAATTAAGCTTAATTTAATTCTAGTATGGGAACTGCAGAAATCCATACTGTCTGTTTGGCAAATTCTTGAACTTGTAGTACACAACAATAAATTTATTCACTACTGATGCTTTCTTAACCTTAACATTGGAGTAGATCTGGCGGTGGAGGTATTAATGACTGTGAAAGGCCGACTCCGTTTTCTACCAGAAGTGCCATGCCCAAACCCGAATTCAGATGTGAGTCTATGTGGCAACGGATGAACCAAATTCCTGATTTGCAGTCGTGAAAGAAAAACATGGAATAGGTTAATAGGTGATGCTGGTACATACTGCAAAAGCAAAGTTTTACAATACTACAATATGTTACCTGGATTGTCAGCCACAAAACGAATAGCCACCCATCCTCCAGGAGGCGTTCCAATGGTGTTTTTGACAGGTGGGTCTACAAGGTTGAACTTGAGTGGATCAGTTGCTGGGTTGAAGTTGCCAAAACCTGAACCAATTACAAAGAAGTGAAATCCATGAACTATGCTTGTGTTTTGCAGAACAATTTGCATCCTCGAGCCATACTTCACCTTGTAGAGCTTAGTTCCCCGTGAAGGTGTCCATAGCCCCCTTGGTACATTCCCAGTATAATCAAATTGTACAGGGGGAACAGGGGCAAAGTCTGTGGTGAAGACACTGGGTATTCTTTCATAGTACGCTTGCATTAAGGAGGTGGTTCTTGGGAGTTCAAATGATACATTGTTCATACTGGCTGTGAAGTGGGTTCCATTTGGTGCTTGACACGGGACTATTAGGATTTGTGCAATTGATTAACCCCAACCCCAACGTGAAATATAGATTCACATAAACTTTCGTAAAGACTTTAACCCGAGTAAGCCCCCTAATCCTAGCAGTGTACGCAGTGGCAGTGTCATTGAAGGCAGGCAAAACTGGCAAGACTGGTCTTGATCTGCTTTGGTTACTGCGTCTAGTAGATCTGTATTCTAGGATTGCAGTGGTGGTGCAGCAGATTCGTAGGCGCGTGCTGCCATGTAGTAGAGACCTTGGGGTTGATCAGCGGTGACTAGAACATTGAATGTCTGACCAGGTCCTATCATGAGGACTGTGGTTCTGAAGGGCTTGGTATATGCTGCATCTGTACCAACCACAATCATCTGTGGTTGGCAATGGAGAAGAAAAGTTCATGATTGAGTGCACTGTTGATGATTCTCAACATAATTGTCTCCCTAGCTTCTACTGGAACAGTTCCTGCATTGTGTGTTCGTACCATCAATGAAACTGGAACCTCTATCAAAATATAATTGTTTTTAAGGTAGTTAAGAATTTAACCTTATTCAGCTATGCTTTCCTTTTTAAGACTTTATTATAATAAAAATAAACTTTGAAGGTTCAGAAAATCTGCCATTTGAAAATAAGTTATCAATCATTTTAATATCCTTTTCAACCGTTAAGGAATGCAGGCACACACTGAGTAATAATTTTCACACCTTGGCTTGAGCATCTGTAAAGATCACCAAGTTGCCCATTAGTGGTATATGCAACAGATGGATTTAGAGGTAATCTTGCAAAGTCTGCCTGCCTTTGGAGAAGCACAATATCCGAATCAAACCATTGCCATCAACACGATAAAACTGTCATGACACTATATAAGAAGCTCATCACATTTTAAATGTTTTTCTCCAAGGTATAGTGTGTTCACAGTGGAAGGAGATTCATTATTCAAGTGAATTGGGCCGAAGATGATTGTAGAGATGTACCAAGAAGGAGGGGAAATTCTTGCTTCGGCACAGAGGAGGGATAGGCAGAACCCAATCTGGGATAGATGAAGGCTCCCTAACAGTGGCTCTCAGGAAGCCAGTATGAGCATGCCACCATAATGTCCCTTCCTGATCCCTGATTCTAAATCGGTATGTGTAACTTCTCTCTGGTTGAATGGGACACTGGGTTACATAACTCGGCCCATTGACCCACGGATTTCGCAGCATCCCTAACCCATGCCTGATGCACATAAACCCTTATCACTTTGTGAGGAAGATCAAATTTATGCATCAGTAGCACAGTAAATTGGTACATGGACCAAGTATGTATCAGTAGCATATCGACTCATGGACCAACTATTTATTGTTAGATTAGTGTGGGGATGTGGCTTTGGGTTTTGCACAGCCTCGTCACTAGCCTAGCTTGAACCTATTTCACTCAAATTATGATGGAATGATAATTACTAAAGAGTTCTAACTTTATTGAAGAAAAGTAGTGAATAATTCATGATATAATTGAATCAGAACTTACAACAAATTCATGGAAATGTATCTCTTAGCCGAAGCAAGGGAAGCAATGAGAGCAAACAGGGCTAGTACGAACCAAGAACAACATGACTTACCAGGGAGGTGGAAAGTCTTCATTGTTCTGGTTTTGTTTAATGGTGTTTCTTGTGCTGAAGGGGATTTGTTTTAAATGCAGCTATTTTGTAGACTTATTATATATAGGGAAATGCCTGGAAAGAGAAATACTTCTGTTAAGTCGTTATATTTTAGTCAAGGTACTTAATATTTAGTAATTAGTCAAACAAAGTTGAGGACATGCATGGTGCACACAGCAATCCATTGTAGAATAAATGCTAGGTTGTGTTATTTTTAGATGAAAAGAGACCCACTAGATTAGAAATACATCTTTAGTTAATAAATCTGTTTTCTGGAATTTTATGGTAAGATACTTGCAATCTTCTAAGTACACCCATCAAACTATGTGTAGGAAAATAGAATAATTAGGACACCCAACCAAACCAATATTTCCACATCTAATTACGGAGAGAGAAAGGAAGTTAATATTTTGCAAGGGTACATAATTCTTGTTCTCAATAATTAAGACTTTGGGAAGCAAAATTATAATTATCTTTTAACTGTCTTCATTCATATTGCTTTTAAGCTAGAGAAGGTTAATGATTTTCAATTTCCATCTCTCCTATTTCCATTCCCCGATTACTGAGCAATGCATTATTCAGTTGGTCAAAACCATAGAGTAACAATTAGCTAGTTTCACAGTTATTTACTCCATTTTTCGTACGGAATCTCATTAGCAGAGGATGATGATATTGACCCTGAACTTTTGGAAGCTGTAACCTAAATAGTGTACTACAAAAGGGAGCAACATGAGTTAGGATACATATTGGTTGATGCAGTACCATATTTCACTTCAGTTTGTAAAGCCTTGCATTAATGTTACCAGAAAAGAAAATCCACTTCTAGTGTAAAATTTGCATACTTAACATTCTTTTGTTAATTAACTTATGCATTAATTGGTTCTAATTTATGAATATTTCTTTCCTTATTTTAATCTTATAATAAAAAGGTTAGTAATCACGCTTTATGTCTTATGGTAAGAATCGTATTCAAATGAAATGATGGACATGACACTTCAAAATTGTTGCCTAATTATAGAAACTTATGTGCTTATAAATTGGTTCATCTAATTTGATACACGACTCATGGATCTACTAGCAATGACTTTATTTAGTTGCTTTATTATGTTGATAATAAAATTTTAGTACTATTACTCATTTGATTCAGCAATCCAAATGCTAATATCGTAAGTGGATAAAAACATCTACTACATGTGTTTATAAAATGTTTTTATTTAAAATTAATTTTTTTTAAAATATGCTACAAAATTTGAGAATCTCATCATATTTTTATAGATTAGTTAACTAATAAATAAAATAAAAAAGTATGGGTGGTAAAAAGGGTCAATTTCAACAAGTCAACCTGACACTTCGATAAAAAAAAGTGA